ACCTGAAATATGGTCAAAGCATTCGAATCTATTTCAAATGAGTTAATACTGAAAACGAACGAAATCCGTCGCAGGCTAAACTTGCGGACATACAATATAGACTGAGAAAGTAACAAACAAATTGCTTATAAAAATCGGCCACGATCGGCTAATACTATAGAAAAGCGAAATTTCATTTCTTGTCTCTCTTTCTATTTTTCGTTTAAAAAGAAGTTATTGGATGTAAAAGACTCTGTCACACTCGAATCAAATTTTCTTATTTAATTGCTAGAATTTTGTAGAACAGATGTTTTTATAAATAATCTTCAGGACGTTGACTTCTAAAAGAGCGAAAATTATCATACAACTTAAAGCATTTTTATAACGACGACTTTTTAATGTTTCCTTTGAGATTGCACCTGGATATATAGCCTGTTTTTTGTTTATAAAATAGTTACCTATTATTGAAATTTTCATCAAATTTTCGGTTTAGGTATAACAAGTTTAAATGTCTTATCTAGAAACGTGGCAATAAGCATTTAATTAAGCGTTTTATAAAAAGATTCTAATGCCAAAAAATGATTAGGCGTTTTACAGAAATTATCTATTAAACGTCATATTCAGAAACTGTGCACTGTCGCCAAGGAATTTAATCAAACTCCGTTATTGAAAACGAATACGGTGAGCCGTTAATAAATTACCTTGAGCAAATCTAGTGTCTTGAGTCGGCCGGGGTAATATTATACTCATCCACTTTGTTCCGGAAATTGTAGTTATTTCATATTTCTGGTATGGTATAGTTAGCTTCCGCCTAAAATACTTTTTGCGAAATGCGTTTCATTTGATTGAAACCAAATAGAAATAAACGGGTTATTAATTTGAATCAAGGATGTCTATTTTTTGGATACCGCTGCATAAATGGACCCTCAGGAAAAAATAAATCACGAAAGAAAACAAACCAGTCTACTTTTTTTAACCTTTTATGACGAAATGTAATAATAATAGTAACTTAACAGTTCTAGGATAGAATATGTTTTCAGTTTAAACATTTTTTTTTTTTTGAAATTTCGGTCTTTTCTCGAAAATCACTGCGCTTGGAAGTTACAGCCTCTTGTAGATTTTAAAATTTTAATCGCGTTTTTTTAATTCCTTACTAAGTTCAGCTATTAAATTTTGTTCAATTAATTATGTTTACATCTCCTAATGATTGCAATGCAATCAATTGTAACCTGCGTTAACTCGAACAAGCGTCCAACAGAGAAGAAACGTTGACCAGCATGTGCATTTGCTTACTCAGGTAACATATAAAACTGATAGTAAATACCCCAACTTTATTCTTATTTTCATTCTTCGATAGTAGTTGCGCATTGGTACAAAATAGATTTTATAGAAATCTAAACGCATATATCTATATACAGGTACGCATTCAACAAATAGCCAACAAGCCAAAGCAAAAACAAAAAAAACCGTAGCAACACCATTCAACTTTTCAGATGAATAGTTTTTATATTAGAGTAAGGAGACGAGAGTTTTTATACTATACACTACTTGTGGTACTTGTGGTATATTAAGTTAGCGCGCTCATATGTAACATGCAGAGGGGCTTAAAATAGACTCAACTATTGTTATACCGATGAATTCAGACTATGATTCTAAGCCTCTCTGATGTCTGCTCATGTAAATTTGTGTTCAAGCTGCAGGTCGCAGTTTTTGAGATATTTTGATAAAATTTGATACGTTGATGTGTTTTGATCCAAAGACGAACCCTGTTGAAGCTGGTTCGGATCGGTCCACATTTGAGACCACTGCCCATATGACACCTTATTATGGAACGTCGTTATATGGAAAAAAATTGTAATTTTCAAAATTTTTCAGGAAAACTGACTAAATAGTACCATTTCCGCATTCTAAATTGGTAAGAAAACCGGGCTGGGACAATTTTTGAGCGTCCTCTCATATAACGAAAAATGAAATTCATGTAACAAAAAAGTATAATTTTCAATGCTTCATGATGAAAATTATGTCATAATAGTAATTTAACGTAAAAAAATTAATTATACAAAATTTTGACTATCTACGCATATATTTGGTAACTGCCCTATGTAAGAATTAAACTTGTATTACATTAGATTGCGGTTTCGGTCCGCTTCCCCATAAATACGCACATGAAAAATATGCTTTTATATAGGAACAAGGTATAATTTTTGCGTTCTGTGATAATAATAAGAATCGTGTTAGACAATGTGGTGGAGGGTAGTTAATGGTCGGCTTAGCATGACTATAATGTTCTTACTTGGTTTGTATGCAAATGAAAGCAATAAGAGAGAAAACACGTTTAAATGTGAGTGAACGTAATATCATCGCTTTAATGACACAGAGACAAGTTTTCTTCCAATTTTCAATTTAATCAACTCTAACAAGCCCATATAAATACACTATGTAGATTTCTGTGTGTGGTTAAATATACTGCCTCTTCGGCACATAGACTTCCATAAACGCATAAGTTTTCATTGTTAATGTGTATGGAAACAACTCATTTGATCAAATGGAATTTTAACTAATTCCTTAAATGTAACTTAAAATTATTAATAACAATTCGCAAAGAATGAATGTACGTTTCCATCATTAGTAACAGTTTACTATTGACATCGAACAAATCCTGTTATCAAATATATATTAAACTATATAAATAGTAGTGAGTATTTGGCAATTTGTGAGTGAGGTGTCTTTAGATCAAAGAGGTATGCCACTGCAACAGTCTAAGAAAAGAGGTTTTCTGAAAATTTTTTTTTATGATGGAAGTAGAAATAGAACAATAATAATATTTGATGAGGTTATTAGGGCTACTTTCAAGCATTAGGAAAAAATTTTTTTTGAATAATATTAAAAAATGACAACACCGCAGCTATTCTCTGGAGACATGTTTAGCTCAAACAACTCTGCAGCAAGCAGTGTAATTGGTATAAATTTAAATTTAGAAAAAAACATTTAATCTACATATTTATAGTTACAGAAGGAATACTTGGAGTGTTTTAGAAATATTATTCTTTATGAAATCGTTTAAATTAATCAATCGAAAATATTTTACATATTACACTGTGGGACTTTGTTTTAAAGATATTGTTGGAAAATGGACAAAACAAATGCAAGCTGTTAGAGTTAACTTGCATGCCATGTTTCGCGAAAAACAAGCTCAAAATTTTGAAATGCGTTATAGATATCTCTTTTTATTTCAATAAATGTTTTTCTATCCATTAATGGGTAATTCCAGGACCATTAAACTGTCCTTGCATGTTCAATGATTTGTTCCCTTTCTGCGAAGTTTCTGTCAAAGACAGAATCTGATATTTTACATTTTTCATTTTGCGGAATGATAATGCAAACAAAAGAAAAATGTATAATTCAATAGTTGAGCTCACAATCAACTCCGTAAACTTCATTCCCAACTATTAATTTTTAGCCCAAGTTTTGACAACTTTCAAATCGCACTCAGGTTTACATCTATTCCACAGTCTTGTTAATGAAATTGTGCTAACGTATTCTTATTTGGAAATGCTTTTAGTTATAACTTCCCGTAGCGATTGATTTGACACAAGTAATGTTTTCAGAGTGTTCGAAGAAAAGCTTAAAATTTCAAAATGAAAGCCTCTTTCTGGAAATGATTTTCTTTCACATAATCTAAAAAGCAATAAAAAATTTTTGTTCTGATAAATTTTCGGTAATTTATCTTCTTGAAAACTATATATACCGTTTATGCTATGTAACAATCTATGCAGCGCTTTTTCTCTAGATAAGGTGTACACCTTTTTTAGCCAGCAGAGAATAACTCGCCAGGTTGCTGCTTTTCTTTGCAGCTTATAGTACCATTGTTTTTATTCAACTGCAGCCGTATTTGTTGCTTTTGATCATAGTTCACATATTTTTTATATATTATCCTTCAAAACCGCTGAAATTTGCGTGATTAAGGCAGATGTATGTTACTGACGACAGCACAGCTTCGACCCTAATATATTAGTTGAATACCCACCCGCATTTATTATGTTCTTCCAAAACGACGAAGCTCATAACAAAATTTACTTTGACGCTACTGCGGACCTTGTCATAAAAATCGTGTACCTTCCCGTCGCTTTCAACGCAGTTTATTTTGCTCTTTGCTTTCTTAATTTAGCGATTTATACCTGTTTCTTGTTAACCACTGCAGGAATGGTTCGGATTCGCAAATAAAAATTTGTTTGAATAGTCTTTTGTTTTGATTCCTTAGACCAAACGTTGGTCATCTTTTTTAGTACACTTTCTTTCTATTCAAGAAAACTGAGTCGCCTTTTGATTTTTGATTTTGATTAGGTATTCCGCTCATAAAATGCACAAAATAATTAATGGACTTAAATATTCATTTTCATTTATATTCATATTTCATTTAGCTGTCGTACGGCATCAGGGTGCTCGTCTTCTGATTGAACCGTGATTCAATTGGATAGTATCTATGATTTTTAAACGAAAGATATACACAACAATCTACAGGTCACTTGATTATATAGACAATATTGAAACGGTAGCTTCCTAATATAAAAAAAGAGAAAAAAAATGAATTTAAGTCGAAAATTGAAGATGTTTAGACAAATTTTTGAAGTTGTAATGATGATGTCGGCAAAACATTTCCGTTGTATTACATAGCACACAAAATTCATCCGCCATCTATGAAATGATGAATGTGATGATCATAATATGTGTCATATAAAAAACAGATACAATCAGCGAAAGAAAAGACAGCTGCTTTTAACCAATTAACCCAGGAAATTAAAATGTTACTCATATTATTAAAAAAAGATGTATATCAAAACAAATATGGAGAAGTCATTAACTCTAATTAAAAAGAAAGTTGCAACTCCTATCTTTGTCTCTATGATATGATTTATATCAATTATTTATTAATTTATTCCTTTTTAAAGATTTAAAAGTTAACAATAATTTTTCACTTTATTATATTTATTTCCTTTTTCTTGGATTGCATTTGCGTTCAGGTATTATTTATTTGCGATCTCATCTTAATAAATATCTGTCAGTGGATACATTTGGTAACGTTCTATGTGAAAGCGATGAACGCGACGCTGGCAGTCGGTTTCAGATAAGCATTGCCGAGGACGGTTCTGGTCGTTGGGCACTAAAAAATGAATCGCGTGGTTACTTTTTGGGCGGTACGCCCGACAAATTGGTTTGTACTGCTAAAACTCCCAGTGCAAGTGAATTTTGGACAGTACATTTGGCGGCAAGACCGCAAGTGAATTTACGCTCGATAGGTCGGAAGCGTTTCGCTCATTTATCAGAATCGCAAGATGAAATCCATGTGGATGCCAATATACCATGGGGTGAGGATACATTATTTACATTGGAGTTTCGTCAAGAGGAAGGTGGACGTTACGCTTTACATACATGCAATAATAAGTAAGTGTATATGTTGCCGATCTTTAGCTACGAAGATGAAGAGTGAATACTGACTTTCACCTTATGGTGCTATAAATTTTATTTTCATTCCCGTTTTCATTCTTCAGATATTTAAATGCTAGCGGTAAATTGCAAACGGTTTGCAATGAAGACTGCTTGTTTAGTGCCGAATATCATGGTGGCCATTTGGCTTTGCGTGATAAGTATGACACGTATATAATAATTTGCTAGAGAGAATTAATATAATCAATCGGTTTTTAAAATCTCTCTAACAGACAAGGTCAATATCTTTCACCTATCGGTTCCAAGGCTGTGCTAAAGTCTCGCTCCACTACGGTCACCCGTGATGAATTGTTCTCTTTGGAGGATTCCTTGCCTCAGGCTTCATTTATAGCTGGTATGAATTTGCGTTACGTTTCCGTGAAACAAGGCGTTGATGTTACGGCTAATCAAGACGAGGTGGGAGAAAATGAAACTTTCCAATTGGAATATGATTGGTCGGCTCATCGTTGGGCCTTGCGCACTACTCAGGATCGTTATTGGAGTTTGTCTACTGGCGGTGGCATACAAGCCACCGGTAACCGCCGTTGTGCTGACGCTTTGTTCGAACTTATCTGGCATGGTGATGGGTCGTTATCGATGCGTGCCAATAATGGTAGATTTTTGGCTACTAAACGCTCAGGTCATTTGTTTGCCACGTCAGAAACTATTGAAGACATTACTAAATTCTACTTTTATTTAATAAATAGGTGAGAATTTGATATTATCTTAATATGAATAGAGATCTTTAACTGTAATTTTTATATATGCGTGCGTTTGTAGACCAATTTTGGTACTTAAATGCGAGCAAGGATTTGTTGGATATCGTCAGCCTGGTAATACGAAATTGGAATGTAATAAAGCTACCTATGAAACAATATTAGTGGAGAGAGCCCAAAAAGGTTTGGTTTATCTAAGAGGACATAGCGGCAAATATTGGCGTATAGATGGCGAAGGCATTTCAGTGGATGCCGATACACCGGTCGATGGTTTCTATTTGGAATTGCGTGAGCCAACTAGAATTTCCATAAGGTAAATGTTTTAATTTATTACTATATTCAGAAGTTATGAAATTTATTCATTATGTCCAGCGCTTAGAAGGCGTAAGAAGAAACCTAGAGCGTTCTATAAAATTCATAGATTGTAAAGTAATGATCCAGTTTTAATTTAAGTCTACAATATTAGGGGGGGCATTTTTATCGTTGCATCCGTTTTAGTTTCTGAGCAATGAGAAAAAAACGTTTCATTTACTGCCTTAAAAACCGATATGCATTCGCCATAAGTGTTGAGGCCCTTCAAAGAGGATTAGTTCTCTTTTGATTTAACTCTAAAGATCGATTAGCCTTCTTAAAAAAATCTTTGTTATTAAGTTTGTTAGTACATTTGCCGCATCCAGGCGGAAAAAGCCGTATAGAGTAACATATACGTACTCTTAATCAGTATTAAATTCGAAGTCGATCTAGATACATTTTCCATCTTGTCCTTCGTGTGTTTTTCTGCGATTAGTGAACTTTTTTCCACAATTTTTCTGCAACACTATGCAACAGTTTACAATTTTATTGTTGTTTATCGATAAGATGGACAAAGGAAATGAATGCATGGCATGGAACAAAACCTTTAAAATAAAAAACGTGTATCGCTCATATTATCTTAACACACCATCTTTCAACGCCAAGTTACTCAACAGACTCAAATCTGTATTGGCCATAGTAGTATAGATTATACTCAGCACTCGGAAGAGAAAGGCTATTGCTCATCCGTTAAGAAATTCAATGCTCTCTAAGTACTGGCTTGCTCGCAAAATTTACAGCGCTTCTGGAACGCTTTGCTTTACTAAGTATTTTAATATGATCGCTAGCAATTGCCTCGCGAAGTCATTTTTTTGACCAGTTAAAATATATATAAATAGAAGATCTTAAACCCTCGTCTGCCACTACCTCGTTTCTATTTGTGCCAGTCTGTACGGGATCTTATGCTTCTTTAGGGATAAGAAGAAATTAACATCACTTAAAGGAGTTGACGCTCCGTTCGCTATTTTAGAAGACATTGAAGAGTCTTAAATTGCTTTCAAAAACTATATATGAGGAGTACAGGACCTATTTTTTGGCCCAAAACCAAAAAAATCTCATAGCAAAAGCTGACAGACAGTTGTACAAACAATGAGATGTTTATAACACACAAAGGCGCAGCACTTGTTAAATAGTTTATTAACAAAAATATAGAAAAGTCCTCGCAGGAAAGCTGTCAAATTATTCAGATAAAATGTTCATTTTATTTTTGTGTTTTTAAGTGGCTTCATATTATATTGTAAAAAATTAATTAAAGTTAAGCTCATATATATAGGTCGCAGAATGGTAAATACTTGGGTGCCACTAAAAATGGGGCTTTTAAACTTTTGGAAGATGGTTCCGATTCGGCAACACAATGGGAATTCTAAGCCTATAATATTTACAATAGGTGCAATGTTCTACGTAGCCTAACTTTTATATACTTATAGAAGCTTAAGAAAATATAACTGAACTCAAATGAATTGAATTTTCGGGCTCTTTTTATCCATTGAATTAATAAACAAAAGCATACACATAAAAGAGGGCGGGCGAACGTACTCTCTCTTATACACATTTTTTAAATATGTAATACAAACATACACATATACATGAAAATCATTCTGAATAAAAATTGCGGAATTTTTGCTGAATTCAATTTAGTTTAAGTAAAATTTTCTCTTTAAAAAAAAAATAAAAAAAGAATTCAGGTAAAACGCACAACTTATACAGAACCGAATAATTATAACTTTTTTACATCAAATCCAATAAAAACTACATTTTATACACAACAAGAAATAAGTATTTTTACTCGATTGTAAACTTAAACGTAATTAAAAGAGAACAGATTGTGCAAAAGAAAGACAAAAGCAAGAAAGAAAACAGGCCAAATTTAATAAGCGATTCCTTCCGTTTGCTTAAATTAATATATAAATTTAAAAAGCGTATGATAAAAATTGAAGTACTGAATGAAATTCGAATCTTGCGTGTATTTTATAAAAAAAGAAAAAATCAAGAAGAGATAATTTTTAATACATTTTTATATAACACCAGCTTTTTACCTTATTTTAAAAAAATCTTAACTGAAAACCGTTATTTAGAAAGCAAAACAAAGTCAACTACATTTTTTAGTTGATAAACGAAAATGTTATAAAAAAAATAAATAAATAAAAAAAGAATATAGAAAAAGTGAAAAAAAAATTTTTTTACATCTTTTTTACCAATTCCTATATATATACTTATATAAACACATATACGTTATATAAATCGATATATGTATTCATTACAAAACAATCAATATATAAAAGCAAAAAAAAAGAAAACGTATTTTATATAATACCAGTAAAACGCAAATTACAAAAAAAGAAAAAAAACGCTCTCATATGTCGTTTTTAAGATTTTATCTCACGGCATAGAATTTTTATAATTTGATGCTTTATGTTTCTCTCATGTTTTCTTTTATTAAGCGCGTCATAAACAAGGAGAACAGTCACGGTTTTCATTGCCACCTGCACATGCCACATTCTCTTCTCCTTGCATAAGAGAAGAAAACTGATTTATTAAAACATAATTTCATTTTTCATAATTTTTTTTTTTAAAGTATTATTATTATGATTATTTTATCTTCTATATAACATATTTATAATTAATACCGTTCTAACTGCTTATAATTTCATAAGCATAACACATTCTTTCGATTTAATAAGTGGATCTATGTGAAACTATAAAATGATATCATTACTGCAGCATTAATTCATTAATTATAAAAAGAATAACTGCTATAAATAAAATATATAAATAATCTATTATTGTATTCGTAACCCAAAACTAAATTATGTTTTTTCATTTAATTGCATCAATGATGCTCACCGTTATTAACAAAGAAAAAATTTATGCCTTCGTTAGTGTCAATTGCAGTATCAATTGTCTTAAGGTTTCCTTTGATTTGCTTCTAGGCTTTATACGCTTCTGTTGTCTACTTTTTAATCAGCTCGGAGGAGAAGTGGTAAATCATGTTTATCAAATGTACCTATATATGTATATATATATGTATGGATCAGGGAGGATGCTGTCATCGGAGTGAATCTACATTCTTTAAAGATTACAAAACTTACAGGTACCACTAAATTCTTCGTTGCAGATGAATTACGTAAACAAACCATTGAGGATCGAACACGTGCCAACGATAAGAGACCGAGATTTTTCTTTCTTCAATTCTACTTTTAAGATCACGCAGACTGGCAATGCAAGAGTGCAAAATTGGTCAGACGACACGCCTCTAGCGTAAACTGCACGCACCTCCGTTTTTCTTAATGAAAATTTGTGGATTTTTGCTCGTTACTCAGAAATAGAAGTTAGAAGGTTGATAATTCCCACATTTACTTTAGGAAACAATCTACTCTTTAAATGCAAAAATGGAAAAAATCAGCCATGCCTACACGAAGTTACAAGTGGTTAAACTTTTTTTTCTTCACTTTTTTGAGATTTTATGCTTATTTTTCGTAAGGCAAACAAAGCAGTACGTGTTTAAAACTATTTTGCACATTTCTCAAATGAAGATATTATCTGCCTAAGAATGGATTAATTCTAAAATGAATATAATAGACATCGCGACGTGGTGGATTAGTTTTTTCTTAATAATACCAGCGATACGGGTATCAAATAAAACAACTTTGAGAGTAGAATGCGAATAGCTAACTGTGCTAGTTCCAAATATATCTCACACGTTACAACGTAATGAACTAATTTTTTTTGTTGCAAAACTGTTGAAATGATTAAAACATAAAAGGACTTGGCGAGTAGAATGCGAGAAGCTAAGTATGTTAATTCTAAATTAATTCTGGTGGACGTCACGACTTAGTAGATAAATGTTGTCTTAAAAAAAATCCTTCGATGTAGGTGCCGAATAAAACGAGTTAGAGAGGCCCCCGCCGGATACAACCTTCCTAATTGTTTAACATTGCAAAAATTCGTTTTAGACTTTGTAATTTGATTTTCAAGCATTTCAAAAAAGAATTAGTAAGCCTTATCGAAAGGGAGATGTTGTCACCAAGGCAATAGACCAAAGTCTGTTTACAATCTTGTACCTTCAGAAGATAATTAAGCGTATTTTTTATTTCGTTTGTATTCCTCATAAACACACACTTTTTGTCCAGTTGTCGTCCAACATAAATTTCATATATGTGCGCATATTATATAGTATTTTACTTTATTTTCCGTTTCAATGTGCTACCCAGTAGCAAATTGGTAATTCAGACATTTTTCATTTGATAGTAACAAAAGTGCGTACTTCGTGGATTGCCGTCGACTCCATACATTTATTTGATAATTGAGAGCTATAAACCCAAAATTGCGATCGAATTCACTCGATATCAAGAACCATAAACCAACGTCTTACAACTGTTCCTTTTTGTTAACTCTGACAAATTCAAGTATTTGGCATCCCAAATATGCAAAAGTTGACGTTTGTTTCGAAAGTCGCTCTGGAGCCAATTTTTTGAACTCGCTGCAGATAGTTTAATGATTTTCACAAAAAATTGCCAAATCTTAGGATTTCACTTTCTTTGGATAGGTTTTCTTTTAAATGTTGTTCAAAGATATGCAATCGTTTTTTAATATAGGTTAAATTTACGTTATGGTGTGTGCTATGAAGATGTTAGCGTATTTAGAAATATCTTCTCAATATATTAGTTTGGGGAAAAAGAAATCCATTATTTTTATATGAACTTCAGGACTTTATTTAACATGCTTCGGATTGTCCGATTTGGGTCAAATATGCACCGTTTTGTTGTATGATTTGTTGCCATTTTAAAGGTAACTTCAAAATGCCTCTCACATAGAAGTCCTGGTCTCTATTTGCAAAAAACTCTAGTAGTCGATTTTCACAACCCTCCCTAGATTCCAATTTTTTATCATTAAAGAAATTTTGCAATGCAAGAAAAAGATGATAATCGCTTGGTGCCAACTCCGGACTGTATGGCGGATGCATTAAAACTTCCCTACCAAGCTCCCGAAGTTTCTGGCGAGTCACTGTAGATGTGTGTGGCCTAGCGTTGTCCTGGTGGAACACGACACCTCTCCTGTTGGCCAATTCTGGCCGTTTCTGGTCAATCGCTATCTTCAAACGGTCCAGTTGTTGACAGTAGAGATCAGAATTTAGCGTTTGGCCATATGGAAGCAACTCACAATAAATAATCCCCTTCCAGTCCCACCAAATGCATAGCAAAACCTTCCTGGCCGTTTGAGGTGCTTCACCACTCTTTGACCACGATCGTTTTCGCACAGGGTTATCGTATGTGATCCATTTCTCATCTCCAGTCACCATCCGTTTAAGAAATGGGCCAAGGCTTCGCAGATGGAAATTCGATCCATCATGTTTTTTTCTGTTAATTGGTGTGGCACCCAAACATCGAGCTTCTTTTTGAATTCAGCTTTGTGTAAATGGTTTTAAAACTGTTTTATGGTCGATTTTTAGCTCCTGGGCGATGTTACGACTGCTAACATGCCGGTCAACTTCGATCATTTCTCCGATTTTATCGTCATTTTCGACGACCGGCCTACCTGTGCGAGGTGCATCTTTAACATCAAAAATTCCTGAACGGAATCTACGAAACCAACATTGCACATAATTGGCTGTTACAGTATCGAAACCATAAACACCATTCACAATTTTAGCCGCCTGGCTTGCATTTTCGCCTTTGTCAAAGAAAAACTGTAAAATGTACCGAATTTTCTCTTTGTTCACTTCCATTTTTAACACGCTGTAACTCACAACTGAATGCACCAAACAAAAAACAGCAAAAGATTTTTTTTAACGGCGAAATGTCACCTTTCCAACGAGCATAAATATGAAATTGTTTGATCGATACTTTACGAGAAATCTATCAGTGCAGCCATCTACCGAAAAAATAATGGATTTCTTTTTCCCCAAACTAATATTATGAGAAAGCACTAAATGTGTAGAGCATCTAAAAACTTTTCTAAATAAAAGTTATTAAATCACAACGACTGGTGATGTTCGTGTTATCAATAATCACACTAGTACCATTTTTAATTAGCAGCCATTCAATTGCTTGCTCTAGCATTCTCATTGATTGTCAGGGCTAGTATTCTGTTAATGGTTTGTTGTTTGTTGTTGTTTGGAAAGCATATAAAATTTTGTTTTAAGTGAATATGCATTCCACCGACATCACCACTTGGAAAAACATGACATCTAGCAAATGGCAGCTGATAAATTTTTTCTGACTTGTCTTTTCTGTTAGTGGAAAAAAAGACAGGAATTTAAAAAAAGGCATAAAAATAAGAAAAAAAACAAACAAAAGAATTTTTTGAAAATAAACTAAAATAAAAAACATTAATTGAAAACATTAGTGAATTCGTTTTCAAATGAAAAATTATTCATTTAATTGCAATTTTGAAAACGCCTTTTTTTTAAATATATATCCAATATTTTTGTTTTTCGCCCGGAAATTTGGTAAGTGTCCCTCGGGATAACAGCTAAAACAACATTAGCCTATCTCCCTATGTAGACAGAGTCTGACGTAATTATTGTAGGTAGAGATGAATTTGAAGATTTTTATACGAATGCCGCTGAGAATAATAAGAGATCGAGATCGATGGTTGGGGATGAAGTTGATTTACCTTCCAAAGGAGAAGCTAAAGCTAATGATTCAATAGTGCTAAGTAACCAGGTGCTTAATAAGTCTTTCGAATTGGGAGCCAAAGCCATTCCAAATCATCAAATTATTTTGTATGACTGTATTTCGTAATGCAATTTCTTCGTTTTTGTTGAAACTTGTGTAAATGCCGAAGGGATACGTACATCAATTCGGATTTTTTCTTTTATGATTATCTTAAATGTTTCAACGTAAACGGTTTAAAAGAACTAAAGGTGGTTAGCAAACGTAGAGCCAAATTGCTGTCCAGCTCTGCGTTTAATGCTAACAACTTTGTTAAAAACAATGTTTTAAAAAAAAAAAAAAAATTAAAAGCGTATATTAAGAGATCTTTCAAGAAACGAAAGATTCGCAGTTATTCGCAATGTCCCTATTGAATATGATGTAAGTAACAATTGACAAAGCAGTGGCCGATATTCCCATTAAGTGTGCTGTTAGGCTTCGAAGAAGAAATTCTAACAACAAGGACGATCTTATTCCCACACCGAGTATTAAAATTGATTCTACAGAGAAAGCCTTCTCAAAATCGATCAAATTCAATTTTTGCAATCTTCCCGTGGACTACCTCGTACCCACCTTTAATCAATGCTTTAAGTGTGGCAGATATGCGCATGTGTCGAAGTTCTGTAAGGCCAAGGGGAGCAGATGTCTGAATTGTAGTAAGGGTGCATATATGGTACATCATGAAAAATACCTGTTTTGTCCGTTCTTTCGCTTGCTTTATTATAGGCAACTCCGATGTACATTCAGTATAGCAGTCAACATTAACGTTGTTATCTTCTACATAAGCGCCGCTGTCGATATCGGGGCCACTTAATTGTTAATATGATTCTGAAGGGTATACGCTCCCAAGATTTTTTTCAGTCATCACTTGTAGGCTCCCTGCTATTTCTTTTTTCCAATCCTTAATCCCATCTAAAAAAACACCTCACTGTCTTGTCTCAGTTAGAACTTCTGCTGTTGAATTGTGAACGAAGAATTTTCATGGACAATACTCTTCTTTTTTTGTTTTGGATATTGAATTGAAATAAACCAATAAATTTATGGCTTCTGTGTTCAGATAATAAGCAGTAGTAATTATTAGCAAGAAATGTATATAAAACATCACAAAAAACTGCGGCCGTGATGGTTAAAGTCGGTATGTTAAGTGTTATTGCAGATTGTTCAGTTGTTGAAAGGGATGTAAAAAATAATGTTCCAAACTTTGGCTGAAAACACAAAAGGAATGTTATAAAGATAAAATATGGTTGAACGTAAAAAAGAAAAAAAAAAAAAAATTCATCATGAATTAAAAAGATAAATTCTCCTTTCTAATAACGCACGTTAGTTCCCGAAATTAAGTACATTTCTTGCTGAATTTTGAATAGTTCTAGCGGATTAAATGTCGGATTGAAAAGTACTTTAAATCGATGTAAAAAGGGATAGTGAATCAAATGTAGACAGACAATCCGTTAAGAATTTGAATGAAACGAAATTTGCTATTTTTTGTACCGAATCGCTGTATCTTTGAAATAAAATGTTAGAGTGTTGCTTTTTATCAATTGAGGCATTAGTAATATTCTAATTAAATGACAAAATAGTTAAATTAGTGAAACTTACATGCAAGACACTACTTGCCGTGAGACTGTTCAGATTACAGTGAAAAGTAGGTTTTCCATTGTTTATAACTTTAAAATTGCTAGTGCTGTTGGCATTTATTAGTTGAGAGATGATTGTCGTACGACTTATGTCTAGCATTGAAATCTGCGACTACAACCACATTTTGTTCACCATCAAGGAAATCATATAATCTATGAATTTCATCACGAAAAGTTTGTACGTCAACACTCGGTACCATGATACGACGAAAAGATTGGGTTTTACATCGTACTTTTGATGATAATAACATCAACAGCTGAATTGTAAAGAATACTCTTGAAATTAATTCCTTTTTTAGCGAGTGTGTTAACACTGCCGTAGCCATTGTCACGGCTGATGCATAATTAGCGATTTTAACCTCGAAGAAATTATCGTTTCTCAAAACGAAACTTCGCTTAAGATGCAGAAATTAATATTATCTGAACCTAAGTAAAAATTTAAGAATGACGAATTACGCTGGCCACTGTGTTTATTATGTTGTAAGTAAAATATCAGATTTTAAACAAGAAAGGTACTAGTACAATATGTTTTTTTCGGCTTCTTTAATACGATCCTCACCGATCGTCGGACGGATTAATTCTTTTAACATCGGAGATGATTATTGCTATTTCAGGTGGACACATGTCGCTTCTAAGAATCGCTGGCCCTTGAGATTGGGTTGCAGCCAGCCCATCAGATTTGGTTATAGACTGTCGTAGAGGTGGAATAGCAAAAGTTCAGGAATGTATTCGTTTTTGTTGACTGGATTTTTCCGCCGAGGCCTAGTACCGGACTGACCTGGTTGGGAAGTTTCAGACCACATCGAAAAACAATTTTTCTTTCTTTTGGTTTTGGATTTTTGGTAATTGGTGCCCAGGAGAGCATCCATAATAGCGAAAACAATAATTGGAACGTTTCTGGTCTGTGTCGTAAAGCTTTTCAACTCATAAAATTAATTTACAAGGTTTTAGTATTTCTTCGTTTTTATTGTGAATATGACGAAGTCAAACGTGTAAAGATTTCATCCGACCTTTTCTTTTATGATTGTTTCAGGAGTTTCGAGATGTTTAAAAGAGCTTAAAACGATAAACAATGGCATACCAAGAATCTGTAAGGAAATTCCTCGATAAAGAATAAAATTGTAGTTCCAGCAGGTGATGGTGGGCTATCTTCACTCCTGAGCACCCACATTTTTATGGTCAGTGTCTTCGCTAAAATGTCGTTGCTGAATTACAATATATTGCGATATGAATAACAATAAAGTAAAATAAGTATTAAAATTAAGTAATCTTAGCGAACGTGCACATATAAAACATACTAAGTCGCTAATTAGGAACGCAAAACCAAAAATGCTTAGTTATTGCTAGTAAATCTCATGCAAAAGTACGTTACAAATACTGAAAGAATGCGATGCTAAAATCGTGTTAAAACCATTGTTAGACTACAGATTTTGATATGTCTTAAAGGACACTAAAACCTATCAGAAGAACCTAACTTCATTACCCTGGATAGGGGACATCACCTCGGAATTCGCCAAAAACCGGCTCTCTCCATATACCCGAAACACTAAATTAGTGATAAAAAATTTTT